GTGTGCCAGGGGCAGTACCCGATCAGGTTCATCTCCATCACCATGCCCTTAGATCCCATCCTCGTCGCCATGTGCGGGCCGCCTCCCGATCCCGCCCATGTTGCCATGTGCGGGCCAGGAGCGGTATGCGGACCCGTCTTTGTGCACGCGGGCTGTGGCCAGCAGCCCGGGCACGCGGGGTCGAAGAAGACCGGTGGCGAACTAGAATTAGTTACGGACACGTAATGGTTGATTTAAAAGATTATTTTACTTACACCAAAGATGGTCGTGTTGTAGGCTGGACAGTTTTCTAGGCACAGCTCCGCTTAAATCCTCGCTAGAGGACTACGACAATTGGCCCCGGAGTTATTGAAGCTCCGCGGGTTCGGTAGTTTCGATAGGAAGGGATACGTCTAGGATCGCGCTCGGTGATGGGAAGAAAGATCGATAGGTGATCAGTCTATCGATCAGCTAGCCGCAAGTCAGATAACTTCTGAGGCACTGTGCAGCGTGCTCAAAGCTCTCCGACTTGGGCGGAAGTCGCACGAAATTTTAAACGGCTAGCAAACCAATTACTAGCCGCCACGTATGAATAATTTAGAACTGGCCAATAGCGGGACGCCAATTTGTATTCGAATGGTGGGAACTCTCTTGCACCGGGGTTTTCTGTTGCAACGGAAAACCCTTTGCTTTGCAAGAGTTTCTCATGTGGCGGGAAAATTCCATCGTGCCGAGGCACCAAAATCACTGGGTTGTGACAGAGGGAATTGGACTACGTAGTTCCATCACTAGCTTCATGTATTCGGTTCATGGTCTGTAAACTTTAAAGATTCTATATAGAGTATTGTTCTTGATTTTTAGGTTTGTGAACCTCTCTAAGATTTTTATTTCTTCACGTGTAGATTAAAACTTAATTGCCTATTGTTTTCATGAGTGAATACAATGTGTAGGCCAGCAAAATCTTAAGACGTATATTACTCTTATTCTCTCCCCCCCAGTACATTTTACTGCAGGTTTACCTTAAAAAAATATAATCAGGTACATAATTATATAATTAAATATTTATATGAAGAATTCAAGAACTTGAGTCAGAACTATGCTGTTTTTATGATTTAAGACACTAGCTATCTTTTATTAAGCATTTTATTTCTATATGCAGCTATATGGGCATGTTTACACATGCTCCTGGATGTGGAGCTGGGTACTTTAATTAGCAAGGCATGCTAATTAAAAGCACCTGCACATCGTGTGCATCAGTATTGTTGTGTGTTCCTGCGCTGAAAAAATGGTAGCGGGGAACTTTGAGCTAAAGCTTATTGGACATGTTTTATTTCAAAGTGCCCTGCTGCCATTTTGTCAACTCAGATGTGTGGCGATGTTGATGCATGTGATGCATGAGTTTCTGTGCTTAGTGTGTTGGAGCAGGCTTCCTGCATGTGTATAGGAGCCCTGTCTGTTCAGTTTGGACTCTTTCTGTGTCTGTTTTGTCATTCTTTATTTTTAAATGCTAATAAATGAAGATGTTTTCTCTTATTTTCTGCTACATTTTCAAAGCTTTCCAAAGATAAAACGTAAAGTTGCAAATCTTTGCTTACAAAGGTGGCAGACTGTACTTCAATTAACATTCTTGTCAGAATCATTGTGAACATAACTGCTGAATGGGCTTCTGGTACATACTTTTATCCTTCTTCTGCTTCTGACTTGGGTAATGAAGTGTAGATGTGGTTGTTACATGCCAGTTGGGCAAGAGCCAAAACCAAGATGTTTGTACATGTACACATTTTGGCAGGATTCCCTCTATTCCTGTTGTCAAAGGATCTTTCTATTGCCGCAGACATAAATATTTCTTTGTTGCAGTATGGTCTATAGATATTGCATTTGGAAAGGTTGCTTTTAAACACAGTAAGCCAAACCTGGAATCGCTGACAGGAATCACTAACTACACTTTATGTATTGCAAAAGGAAGGTATCTATGGAATTCTACAAATGCACTGCCCCTAGACTTAAATTATAAGTACTTTTGCACTTGCCTTTGGTAGATGTATTATGAATTTCTAGCTTTGTCTCACATCTCCTATAGCTATCTGAAGAAGCTGTATTTTCCTTCTCTGTTCCAGAGTGTCCTCACTGCTGTGGTGGTGGGGAAAGGTTAGAGCCAGTCTCCCTTATACTAAACACTCAATAAACTTCTTTGAGGGGAGAAGGAAGGGAGAAGTAGGAACTCTCCTTTTGATAACTAGGTATACTTTGATGCAGCCACAAACACATCTTTGTAATTCTGTGACCTGGGATTAGAGCAATAATGACTCTTAAAATTTGTTAAACTTTGCTTTGCCAGTGCTTTTGAATGTAAGGCATTCTTCATCAGGACCTGCCTAAGCTTGCCTAACTTTACCCAACTACATGGTGGATCCAATAAAAGATATCCCCCTACAAAATCCTTGCTTCTTACATTTAGATTATCATAGTTTTAAGTTAGAAAGCAAAAAATGGTCTTTCACTGTATAAAATGAATGTAACCATACTATTCTCTCAATAAGTCAGCAACCGGGTAAATATCCTTAGTTTAGAGCTTGTTATTTGAGTTTCAGGAGTGACTGTAGGCACTGCAGTAGATTCTCAGTGCATTACGTAACTATTTAATAGCAGTAGAATACTGGTGATTGGAACCCTGAATCCTAACCTTGGCTCAGAGGAATGTGATCTTTAATTATTGTAAGATAAAATAACTAAAATTGTGTGTGTTGCCTTAAACTGATTTTGTTTTCATGGTAGAGACGTGAATTTTGACTCGACGATAACTTAGTGTAAGGAGTTTGCTAATTTATATATTTTTTAAAATAACAAGGGCAGGGGAAGAAGTATTTGTTAGTTCTTCCCTGGTTGCCTTCTGTGTTGGATTTTATGGCCTAAGAAATAAGAGCAGTAAATTGCATGGGAACTTAAATAGCAGTTAAAAGTGAGATTTGAACTCTTGGGCTGTCTCTAGACACGCAGGCATGTGCACTTTGTGGCTTCACAGATTGCACACAGGGAATGTTAAAACATATCCTAAACTGCAGATTTGCAGCATGGAGCCAAAATTTGCCACTGGGAAATTTTGGTAGCAAAAAAAAGTGGCAGGGGAAAAAAAGCGGTGTGGTGCATGCAACATGTACCAGAAGACGTGGAGGCCTGGTTGCCAGCCAGAGCATCTCCACTCTTACAGTTGTGCCCTGACTTCTCTAGCACTACGGGAGCTGGGAGGAGCTGGGCCAGTGCAGTTTGCCTGAAGCAGGACAACTTCTCCCTTACTGAAGTGCATATGTAGGGGTGTGCACTGTGGCAAAAAGTGGCTGTACAAATTTGTGCCACTACTATTTTTGCTGCTGGAAGTATACAACCTTACACATCTGTATGCGGTCCTGGTGTTCTGAACTAGTCTGAGTAGGGAAGAGCAAGAATGCACCAGTCCTGAAGAGTTGTGGTGTGTGTACCATGCTAGACTTCAGACACTTGTTTGGTAATAAATACAACAAAAATCACTTGAAGATTTAACTGAAATCTGTAATGCAATACAGCCTGAATTATGATGAAGCTACTGCTACACTCTAATAGCTGTATTCAAGAAAACTGGTCAGGCATTGATATTTCGTGACTTAGCTAGGAACATACCAGCGCTTATAAACATTTTAATATTCCATGACTGCTAAATTTTTAACAAATACATTTGTCCTCAGTGACCGCTACATGTTCATTCATGCACAGTAACTGCGCATTTAGTTTAGTAGTCGCTTAATGAAGTACTAACTAAATGCAGTAACTACAGTTACTGAGCAGTAGCTCTGGCACATGGTTTTTTCATGATGGTTACTGCGCAGTAGCCTAATAACACTGCACATTAGCATATTAGCATCGCTTTTGACTGGCATGCTACCACGCAGTGTTATTAGGTTACCGCCACAATAGGTATAGCTGCACCACTGTGCGCTGCATTTTACACCTCAGTTTCTGATTTTATAATGATAGCCATTTACTTTGGATCTTTTTGATGATTAAGTACTGATTATATATAAAGGACTGGGTTTTCCCCTGGAAATCCTGCTTTTTTTTTGTTTTTATTTAAATCCATTTGGTTAGAGGTGCATCTGGGCACTTCTGTGCCCTGGGCAATGGCAGTGCACAAGCAAGTGTGAATAGCTGGAGAAGTGCCAGTGGTTGCAACCATGCTGGCAGTTCAGTGGCTTCTCTTTTTACATACTTCTCCACCCTGTCCCCCAGCTTGGTGTCCAGGATCAATATTCCACTTGCATGCTATCCCACCCCAAACTTTGCTATGCTGCTGATTTTGGTTGCCTCCAGTTATCCATGTATTCCCATATTACTCACTGAATATTTGTATTGCGCTTTAGGACCTTGTTACCTATGATCTTGTTGTTCTCCTAGGAGCCTGTACCTCACATTTCTTTAGTCTTTTTTTTTTTTAATTGTGTTATTGAAATGGAAGATAAGGAGCAATGCAGGTATAGAATTTCTTATTTATTTATTTATTTTTTTACATATCCATATATTCCTTAAACTTTTCTGCAAGGTCATCAAGTAAAATGGATCAGAATCCCATCTGAGCTGGAGAAAAAACAGAAAGGACCAGAGCAAGCCTAAGAAAAGCTTTAATTTATGGAGATCACGCAGTAAATATTGAAAGCCGCAGGTCACAAGTAAAGTATTATTGTTAGAAAATACAATTGAATTAGTGTAACAGCAGGATTCATACATAAAGTGCCAACGGTAAAAGATACTCAATTATCAAATGAGGCAATACAAATGAAAATGTATAATCTAATAGAAGATAGTTGCTCGTTTCAGAAGTATGTATAAAATACTCCTGGTATTGAGGTGTAGAAGTGCGTTTAGGTTAGCTTAATCCTCTGTTGTGATAACTAGATTCTCAAGCATTTACATCTTGCATATATTTCAAGCTTTTAAAATATACTAATGATCCTTTATTTTATGTTTACTAAAAAAGATTTGTTTATATGCAGAGTTTTCCATCTGATGAGGGCTGGCCATTTGCTAAATACCTAGGAGCATGTGGAAGAATGGTGGCTGTCAACTACGTTGGAGAAGAACTATGGAGTTACTTCAATTCACCATGGGAAAAACGAGTGGACCTGGCCTGGCAGTTAATGGAAATAGCAGAGCAACTGACTAACAATGACTTTGAATTTGCACTCTACCTCCTTGATGTTAGTTTTGACAACTTTGCAGTTGGACCTAGAGATGGGAAGGTTATTATTGTAGATGCAGAAAATGTTCTGGTGGCAGACAAAAGGTTAATCAGACAAAGTAAGTTGTTTTCCCTTTTATAACTGTATGCTTAAAAATTTGAAGTCTTAAAAGCATGTGAAGCTGCCATGTTTTTTTTTGTAACCAGACTCTTTGGTTTTACAAATAGAATTCTGATTGGTTGAGAACTAAAACACTTCATAAACCTCTTGAAGGAAAATTGGTAGGTTCATGAGTACACTGATTCATCTGAATTTAACATTTGTATTTGTAAAAGAGAAGTATATAAAGTTGGGGAAGGATTAAATAACCTGATGCCACCTAGCAAAACTGCCTGTTGCAAATGTTAAAGCAGTGTTTTTACTCAATTTTTTTCCCTGTAATAGTGTCTCCTGTGCATGCCTTTCGACTTCTTCATGTTCTTCTAAATCTTCTTATGTTATGCTTTGTTTTCCAATATCGTATTCTCTTCATTGGCTCTGCTGCTTTCATTTCATTTTTAAATTATATAAAATGCCTTGAGTTGGAGATTGTCTTGCTCTTCATGACAGCATCTGGGGTAGAAGCCAGCTTCTCTTAATTTCCAGTTACTGGGCAGATAGCAGGAATCACAGCCCACACTCTAGGAGTTGTCCTTTGTCAAGGGCTCCGTTATCTGTAACATCCTCCTGCAGTGGGTATTTGAACATGATATCTCTTACCTCCTATAGCTGTAATGGAGAACGCAGTTTTGTTTCTCCAGGTTGCTAAAAACATGTATAAATCACTGCTTCTATTTCTGAATTACTTTCAATGCCCTGTTCTTCAGTTTATACTACCTTTCAATCCAAAGCTGTATCTTTTTAAAATATAACATAATATTCCACATTTTTTCAAAATACTTAGATAAAATCCCAGTGGAGGACACCAGTAAATATATTTAATATATTGGTATATTTGGTGCGTTGATTTTTGCTGACTGCACAAACTCAGCCTGATAACCATACGCTGCTAAGATTTGAGGAAAAATGTGTATATGTGTTTTGGGGGAAGGAGGAAAGCCATTGCAAACTTAATGATTCCTGTTTTGGCAATAAAGGTGTATCAGGGCTCTAAAAAGGTGACCTGCCTCCAAGGACCAGTTAGGTCTTACTACAGTACAGTTCAAAAAAGCACACAGTATTTGGTAAGTAGAACTGTAACGTAGCTTTTATTCATACTGTGAGCCAGATGATCAGACATGTCAGCAGCATGGATGGTGCAAGGCTAAATAAAAATCCAAAGTGCATTTTTCTTCTCTTTTTACACATGTAGAAATGCTTTCATCAAGCCCACATTGCCCCCATGATCAATCCCATTTAGTGCTATGCATCTTACAATTTGCTCATACGTACCAGATTTTGGTTGTAGAGTTCTACATTTTTTTTTCTTATCTACTGTGGCAAGTTGTATTGGGTGCATCCACATGAGTGTGCAAGTGCTGTTTGTGGCACTGAAAACCCATCTGCAGCACCATAAACCTCATGTGCTGCACATGTACATGTTTGCCACACTGCAAATTACTAGCATGGTGGGTTTTTTGACACTGGGATCTCCTAATATAAAAAAAAAAACCTGCACCAGAAAAAAGTGGGGTGGCGCATGTGATGTAGTGTACACTGCCCAAAATGGGTGCCTGTCCGGGCAGAGCCATGCTCCAGCTGTCTGGCTAGCCACTGTGTGTCCGAGTTGTTGCTGCTGCAGCCCTGAGAGGCTCCCAAACCCCAGGAAAGGCTGCTGGATGGCCCCAGCCTCCCCTACTCCACCTGGGGCAACTTGGCATGTGCCAACACAGCACTTGACTTGTGGCCTACACAGCACACTTGATTCTACCTAATAAGGAAAGTGTTCTAAGGCATACATAGGTTTCCAAGGCAAACTGGGACCTATAGAAGTTCTTTCAGGCAAGTGAGAGGAAGCTGCGGAATATTGAACCATTTAAGACATCTATTCCTCAATTGTAATCTGTATAATTATTTTGTTAGAAGCAAATTTTCTGATGGGTATCTTTGGGGAAGGGAGGGGAGGCTGCCAGGGGTATTGGTGGAACACTGTGCGAGAGTCTTGGTATGTATTTTGAAGCAAAGCATTGAAGTTTTGGCTTTACCTATGTAACTTTTATAACTTGGTATACGTATCGAGTCCAGAGCTGTGAGAACCCACTTGGAGGTTTGTTGGGTTTTTTTAAAGCTTAAAGATTCAGAGTGAAAAGCCCATTTAGTGAAGATTATTCAGGTCACTTCTCTCTTAACATGTGACTTTTTTTTACTTTTCTTTATTTATTTAATAACTAGAATGAAGGCCTAACCACAACATGATGAGATTTATACTTTACAGAAATACATGTATTTTTAAATCTTTTTAGTTTCTATGGAAATTCTAAAGAATCTGTATAGTTTAAAATATAGTGTACTTGAGGGAGAGAAAGTCATTAGTGTTTTATGGCAAACTAGATTCTGTAGAGTAATTGTAACATATCCTGCTGTTTACTGCTTGATCCTTATTAGCATTTCTAATGATCCTTAAGGTAGTAATTTAAAAATTCCACTTAGTGTTTATAGATTAATTTGCAGTTTTGCACTTATGGCATTCATGTCTTAAGGACTCTTGATGTGGATTACAGCTTAACTTTGACGCACAATAAAGTTTTCCTTAAAGTTTAGTAAATAAGTGGGAAGTTTGAGGGGATAATGCAACATAGGCGGTGCGCTGGTGAAATATCTTATGTTATTCCCTTTCTGTAGGATTTTTGCTTACTTTACTTTGTTTGGTCTTCACATCCTACTTTTAAAATTAATTACATTTCTCTTACTTTACTTCAGAGGGGAATATGGAGAAGGCTTGTTAGAAAAGTTTAAAGGAGTTATTTTTTCTTGTAGACCAGTTAGAATATCTTTAATTGCCCTAGGATGGGTAGGCAATGTTTTTTGGCCAGAGTGCCAAAAAACCCACAGTGTCCACCTTGGAAGGTACCGGAGTGCTGGCATGCCAGAAAAACAAAATGAGAGCGGGGGGGTGGGGGTACATGGCAAGACGCAGTGCATATTAGTATATTTAATAATCATAAATGTTGCCTTTGTTGTTGTGTGTTCCTTGTTGTTGTGCAGCTCCCCCCACCCCACTGCTTCGCTACCTGCATGTTAGGGGGAGAGAGAGAGAGACCCACAAGACACCCAGAACCAGACACATCTGCACACACAGAACAAGATGCGCAGGCGCACGGAGCTGGGTCGGGCCGGACAAAGTCTGACCCAACAATGCCCTGGGCCTGCTGCAGCCCCTGTGTTTCCCTGGGATTCCAGCCCCCAGGCTGCTGCACAGCTGGCCAAGGGCCCAGCCCCCATCAGCCCAGCCCAACCACCCACCCACTCCACACAGCTAAGGCCCTAAGCTGGCACGACCATTCAGGACATCTAAACCGTTATCCCCAGAGAGGCTGGGAGAGCACACAATGGCACATCCCCACCACAGTCCCTCCACCCTGGTGCTAAGGCAGTGGGCATAGGGGGGCATCAAGGAGTGTTTTACCCCAGGAAAGCAAACCAGACTGGCTCTGGACTGACAGTGCTGCGTATGTATAACACCCCACTGGGTCCAGGGCACTGCTCTGGGGTCAGGCCAGTGCAGCAGGGGAGGGGAGAGCTGGGCTGGAGCCGGGGGAGTCTGTCCTTGTACCTGAAGGGACTGAGGCAGTAAGCCAGAGCCTCTTCATGGGCTCCTGGGGCATGACACTCCCCCAACCCCCCACTCTGCCCCAGACCCTGGCCCCAGGGAACAAATCCCACCCTTGCTCTAAGCTGCAGTGCACAGAGGCACGGGGGAGCGGAGGACTTACCCATGGCCATGCAGGTTGGCAGTGGCAGAGCTGGGGCCACTGGTCTGGGGTCCCAGTAGGAGACTGGAACAGCCCCAAGTTGAATCGTTCTGTGAGCAGCAGTCACATGGCTGTGCCCAGTGTCTCTGAGAGCTCAGGTTCAGAGGAGGGAAGTTCGTTCTGCCAACGACTATGTCCAGAGGCCAGATCACCTGCCCTGCTGTCTGCCTTAAGGTGCATGTGCAGTCGCCACCAGCATAGGGCTGTGGAGCCCAGCACAGCTGTTTGCAGGCTTTCCGCTGCTTGCTGCAGCTGCCCAGTGCCCCTGCTGGCTACAGACAGCTGCTCCGGGCTCTGGAACCCAGTCACCAGCTCTGTGTCGGTAGCGGGGGAGAGACCAGGATTGTGCTGCCTCAGGCCCTCCCCCACTGCCCGCATGCAGCAGAGCTTGCAGCCTCCCAGCCACCTGCTAGGAGCAGCCCAGGCTCCATGGCTGGCAGCAGCTACCCACAGCCAGGGCTGGGCATAGTGTGCCAAGGAAAATGGCCTCATGTGCCATGCTCAGTACATGTGCTGGGGGTCGCCAACCCCTGCCCTAGGAACTAAGGAAGCAAACTTAACTGCATTCCTAAAATGGATCAATTCATGATCTCGGTTTCCTCTCTGCTTTTTTTTTTTTTTGGCTTATTAACTTTAATTTTTATTTCTCTTTTTTAGATGTATTTTTTGCCTTGGTTTTCTTCTTGTGGTACCTTCAAAATCCTGCTTTCTTCTATTTTGCGTTGCCCGGACTCTTCCTTTAGGTGGGAAGCACTTCATATGACTTTGTAAATCTGAAATCTAGAACAAAAAAAAAATCCCGAATACTCGTGTCTTTTTGTGAAAACAGCTTAATTTTTACCAGTTTCTTTCATACTTTGCTTCTGGTCATGTTTTGGTTGTATTTATTTCTCCTATTTTTCCCATTGCTTATTTACTATGTCTTTCACATTTTACAGATAAACCTGAAAACTGGGATGTGTGGTACGAAAGCAAGTTTGATGACTGTGATAAGGAAGCTTGCCTGTCCTTTTCAAAGGAGATTCTTTGTGCTCGTGTCACTGTGGACCACAATTATTATGCCATTTGTCAGAACCTTTTATCAAGACATGCCACATGGCGTGGCACTTCTGGAGGACTACTTCATGACCCTCCAGCTGAAATTGCCAAAGATGGCCGACTTGAGGCCTTGCTGGATGAGTGTGCCAACCCAAAGAAGCGATACGGTAGATTCCAAGCTGCAAAAGAACTACGTGAATACCTTGCACAACTGAGTAATAATGTGAGGTAGTTCATGGTGAAGCTCCTCTTTTGTAACACTGGCTATAACACTGTCGCAAAGACGCATGGAAAAATGAGGTCTTGAACTTACATAGTCAAAAGGAAACTTAAAAGAATTAAAGTAGCTGATCAATTTTATAAATGCCATAATTAATTTTATGGTGTTTTGATGATGTTCCTCTCCAAACTGACAAGGTACTTACCGAATTAAAACTTGAGCTACTATTGACTGTTCTCCCTCATTGTTAAAGAGGGGAGTTGGATGAGATAAGACTGTGATAGCTTAATTGACAGCTTGTTCATCAAAGGATACTTTACATAAAACTGCATTAGTATTACAGTTTTGTGAAGTTGATGCTTTTACTTGGAAAGTCAAATTAGACTGGCCTGTTTTAAAGGCCTTTTCCTGATGTCATTGTTTCCATTTTTGTGTTTAAATGCCTTTTAAGTAGCATTTACAAACATACAGGTAAATCTAGGTGTTTTCATTGTTTCAAACTTAACAAGCTTTCATTTTAATGCTGTGCAGTACATTTTTACTGTGAGCACAGGATTCCCATGTTTACTGTCTAATCTTATTTCTTTTCACTGTATTTTATTGTGTGTATTTTTTAAAGGATATGGACATAAAAAGATTCAAATGTCATACGAACCATATTTTGACTTTTGTAATTTTGCCTCTGCAGATATCACTTAATGTAATTACTGTACAAATTTTCAACCCTCAATGCCAGTTTCTACACATGGCTGGCCACTC